GGAAATCAATTGAGCCAACCTCAGCTTTCGGCACAAATTTGCGGCGTCATTTCCTCCGCTCGCTGTTTTCCAGACCGCGGACCATGTGGAAACGTCCACAGGCGATCTTCCAGGCCACGAAATGCGGGCTGTGGGGTCCCGGACAACGGTTTTTGGAAGACATTCCGGCCTTTCCATAAACTTTTCCGTGAGGTGTGGGGTCCTGCAAACACTTCCGCCGCAAAGTTTTTCCTTTCCGGATTCCTATGGGGTCCGGGCCATAGTCGCAGAGCTTGGTAGGCGGAGGACTGGCGGTAGGCGTCAATGAGGGGGAGGATTGGACTGGCCGTACGTTGTCGTGCGCGTCAGGGGACCCTCACGGTTGTGTCATGCAGGAGTGCGAAGTCGCGAGGTGGCCAGCTGAGATGCCACTACAGCCGTGTGTGACAGCTATACCTCTCATAGCTCCCTGCGACAAGACAGGGTTCAGCAAGGCACAAGGAACCTCTACCCAAGGGGGTATCACCACCCGTAGATAAGTGTATCTCTGGTGAGCTACCGGTCGAGGGTGTTTTCTCATTTCACTTTAGCATAGGTATACGTGCGGTAAACGCCTTAGGACTGACCCCTGCAAATGTCGGGCATTGGGGTGCTGATCTCGTGACCGATTTAATTACTACAAGTCAAACTTTTTGACAAACCATCGCTCTTCGTATAATAGGGTTTGTCCCATAACCTTTTTCAATGATAACTGTAAACAATTAGCTTATAAAACTGGAGTCGCGTCTAAGTTTCTTTAAAACTTTCTACTATAATGTGTGAACTTGTCTTTCTCACACTACCTGCATTCGGGGACGCCATTCCATGTAAGTCTCATCGTCAGCCCTTACGAAACTGGGTTTATTTTGAAGGTGCATAACAAATATCTCAAGGAACTTCCATAACGACATCGGATAACTGCACTAGCAATTGGGCACCCTCTCACTTCACAGACGGAAGGCTAGAGAGGGTCTCACTTTAGTGACAGGGGTCACTTCGTGTGGGCGACAGTGGATAATAACCCTATCATGGACTTAAGGTTCAACCATAAATTTAAAGAGTAAATGACTCATAACCCAATTTTTGATTGACCACGACTTCATACGTATATATTGTGTCAGGATAGTATGGGTGATGCAGTCTCACTTTCGCAAATGCGATTTCTAATGAAGAACTTAAACACAAATACTTCAATGGACAACACATTTCACACGCACGACGCAATCCTACACACATGAAAAACACATCCAAATATGCAAAATGCGCTAACGGAGTCAAACTTCATTCACAAGATGACACATCCATTATCTACCTTCAAACGTTTTTGGTATGTGACCCTGACTCTGACTCATCAACCTAACTCCCTCACTCAAAGGATCTTTCAACTTATTTTAGACCATTCAAGCATGAATTCAGAGGGATTCAATGCTTACAAAGTTTGTCTTGGGTTATATGTCTTAAGCCATGAGTCACAGTCGAATCAGTATAACCTACTTATTATCGAAAGATAATAGAAAATGCGTCACCGTTTTTTTTGTAGATCACTTTTTTCAATGCACATGTACACACATATGCTCACTCAATTTCAACAACTCATTTCATCTCAACCTTTTTTTTTCTCACTGATCTAGGTTACTAAGTCTATCTGCATCACATTTTCAATCCTACTCTAAATATACTTAAAGCCTAGACTAAAGACATATTTTTAAAAATATTATCACTTATTCTCAAAGAACTTTCTATTTCCTTAAGTTTGTCTATCCCGAGGGAAAGTATCATTCCCCTTAACCGAAATGTCAAAACTTGTGATTATGTCTGATATAATCAAACACATCACACGCTTGAACTGTAATTGTTGTGATCATGTCAAGTATTCGATGTTTTTTCTATATAAATGACATTTTTTTTTTTTTTTTCCTTCTATTTTTATTCTCTTGTCGAGTACTCGATGTTTTTTTTCTATATAAATGGTTCCTCTGTGATTGCGATTAAGTTCTTCATTGGGATCGGAACTGGTCTGGACAATCAATCTCGCTTTTGTCAACATCCTCTACATCAAACGTAGAATAATAATAACTTTGTTCTAGCAAAAACTTCATTCATATTGAGCATTCGGTGTTGGGATTAAGGTGCCTCGTCGGAACATTATGAGTGAAAAAGGGAGAGAGAGAGAGAGAGGGAGGGGTAAATAAACAAAGCGATCTCTACGTATGCTACGGCTCGTCCGCTTCGAACATTTCGTTTGCCACGTCTGTCGAGGTTGTGTGAACCAGGTGGAAGGGCAAACTAGGTATATAGGAGCAGTGGAGCAATCGGGAGGTTGAGTGACGGCCCTGGTATGAGTTGCAGTACTCAGTTTTTGGATGTTATGCGCTGTTTGTTAACTGTTGTTGCTGAACCACGTGGTAAGTGAGTTTTTCAATACTATTGGCGCTAGGTTGTGCAATTGTTGCTTAAAAGAGTTAACTATTGCCTCCTTTAGCCACCATTGTCGAGATATCGGACCGTTGTTGCTCTGAGTCACTACTGGATTTGTTGCGGTAGCGTCGAGATGCTATAGTACACCACAACTGCTATGTTTGACAAATCAGTGTTGCTTCTTTTCAAACTTGATAATACTTCCGCTCAAACGTTTTTTTGTTGTTAACTTTCAGTTACTGCAGCTGCAATTGACCTTTCGACTGATGGTCTAATAATTGTTGGGTTTTGGAACTGCAACTCCGATTGTTCATCTTCAAGTGGCGGCAAGTGTGCGCGTCGTCAAGACAATGGGCAGTATCGGACGCTAGATCTGTAGACTCCCCGTCTCCATCAAGTTCATCAGCGTGGTCGTGGTTGTGGTGTCCTTGTTACATGCATGGTCGACACTTGCATGTACCTTAGTTGTTGTTACTAAACGTCAATGAGTATCTTTATTACTTGCAAATAGGATAGGGTAGGCATGTGCAGTTTGTTGTTTGATAGGTTGATGCAGCGGTCTATGTTGGGATGAGGAGGTTGCTCTCATTTTTAAATTGGTTGTAGCCTCATGAAGGGCAGACTTTGTAGCGTCGTGGAAAATGATCCGAGTTTGTGTGTGTAAGGAGGGGTGTGGGTCACATGGAAAGGTAAAGTTGACCACATTATTGCGTGTTGTTGTTGAATTTGTGTGGTCGGAAATATGAAAATAATTGGATTGAGTCATGACGGTTGCTTGTGTTATGAGAGTGTTAATGGACAAGTCATATCAAGGAGTGTGAGAGTGATTACCTGATGTCACATAACCCCTTTCTGTCTCTATAATTTACCCACTTCCTTTATGCGACTATGGTAGTCGAGAACACGATATAAGATTGTTTCAGTACTGGACTGATTGTGACCCAGACCTATTATGGAGGTTTTGCGTCCCTGTGTTTTATATGAGTACTTGAAAAGGGATAAGAGAGAGGGGGATGGGGCATCTGCAAAACCTAATTGTTTATATTTCGGTGGTTGCACAAGAGTGTCCGCGATAAAAGGTCGAGACAGTTGTTCGTGAAGCACTGAAAGTTTCTCACCGCCTTGCAACTCTCGCAAATATTGCGCATCAGAAAGTCTGCGACCACCCTCACGATCACCTAACGTCGAGGGGTTGATCTCTCGGAGCGCCTATTAGTCGACACTCGAGTGTCATGTGCCATCTCGATATCCTAGAGGGGCCGCACGGTTAGAGGCGCCACCACAACAACTGATCAAGCGAATGCGCATGACTAAACGTTACGAGTTCATCCACTCGTTCACATTTTTTTATGCATTCTTGTGTGAACCCCACTTTGTCACCCACTCATGATAAGAGTTATGAGTCTGAATATCCACTATGGGACACGTTATACGTACGAAACCTAAGGTCACAATATTTCGATTGTGTATCATGTGGTTGAACCGGGCGTTATAGTCAACCGACGAATAAACTACACGTGAGAGACCTGCGCACTACGGAGCGGTTCGCATTCGGGTTCGATACGACCACTAACCTGGTTGTTATTTTTTATAGTTGGACAGTTGAATCCGCAAGTGTCAGGTCAAACCCCTTGACTAACCCACTAGAGAGCTCCCGAAAAATGAGTTCACTCTTGGGGTGAGGATGACCTAGTTGCTACCACTGTCATGGTGGTTGAACGACTTGCCTTTTACCCGTTCAAAGCCATAAGGGGAAACTTCCCTGATGGCATCTTATATTCGATACTCATATATCGTACGTAACCTTTTGACCCCACGAAGGGTTGCATAACGTAAAGAGTGGTCCTGACGATGAATTGTGTAACCATACA